TCTGCCCACCCCGCACTCCCGCAGCTGTGCTCCACAGAGCGTCTCCCCCGCCCCCGCTGCTGCACCTCCCAGCCGGCTCTACGCAGCCTCCTGGGGTTCGCGCTCCCAGCAGTCCCAGCGTCCCACCCTCTGCAGCAGCTCAACACCATGACCTCTGACCCCAGGACCCCTCCCCCTCCAGCTCCCCACACTCCCGTGTCCTTCGGCCATCAGCACCCTGGGCAGGGCCCTCGGATGTGTGCGGAGCTGCCCCCACCCGCATGACGGCGTGCCCTCCTCCCCAGCCTCCACCCTCGGACTGTGGGACCCTCGGGGTTCTATCTCCCCACCTGGGCCGTGGTCCCCAGGAGAGATGCGCCTCCAGTGTTCCGCAGGGCTGGGCTGGGGGTTTCCAGAGGGGCTCAGCCTGTATTGGAGGCAAGGCGAGCAGAGGACAGTGGGTGTTCCTCCGGATTGGGTTCCAAATGGCTCTGAAAAGGGGGAGCCCTGGAGAGGCACCCACAGACCAGCAGGAGCCCACACCGGCCGTCAGCAGTCAACAGCAGCTCTTGGGTGTCCTGCCTGCTGGCTTATCCCACCTCGTGTGGGCTCCTCTCCATTGTGTTCACACCGGCCGTGTGCACCACCGTGCAGACCGTGAGCCCCTGAGGTTCCTCGCTGCTTTCTGAGGGGCCCCCGGGAGATGCAGGCCCTAGCGGTTCTACATCTGAGTGGTCTGTGGGTGCTGGGCTGAGGAGCAGACTCCTGAGATCAGAGACCCACTGACTGCATAGCCCCACCACAGGCTAGGCTCAGCGGGGGAGACAGTATTTTCCATTAACCCTCTCCTCTTGGCTGGTCTTTATGCATTAGCAATTTTTTTTAAAAATAAAAACATTGCTCATACATGACACAGATTTAATCATTTCAGAAGAGCAGAAGAAATAAAAATGTCCCTCCCTTGCACACCCAGGCCCCTTCCCAGATGTCAGCACCCCACTAATGTCCTTCCTGAAGCTCTTCTTGCCCAGCCTCCCCAACTTTCTGCTCCGCCCTGACCAGCGAGAGTGAGTTGAACTTGGGGTGGTCTTGGGGACTCTCCCCAAGACTCAGGACCCCCTCTGCCTTCACATGTGCTTCTCCGGGAGCCTCGCCTGGCTGACCCCTCTCCAGTTTGGAGGCCTCACCCAAGATGCTGCCCTCCCAGGGTCCCACATCACCCATTCTGGGAACCCACTCTGCCAGGTGGCTGTGCATTTACCCAGAGGGATGACAGCTGAGGGAATCACTCCATCCAGGCTGCCTCCCAGTGGCCATGTGTCATTTGTGGCAATATTTTGGCCTCAGTCATCTGCTACTGCGATGGCGGCTTCACGCTCCCTGGGCTTATTTCCCTGATCCAAGGGGATAGTGAAGAAGGTTGCTGGTGGGTGACAGTGAGAATGTTTCTGGAACCAGCTCTGAGGGCCCAGGACAGGCCCAGCCCTACGGCAGATGCATCCCACACGACTGCACATCTCTGCAGGCCTTTTCACCCCACCGGGACCTTCACAAGAGAAGCAGCTTTTTATTTGCAACATGGTCCCAAGTCCGCTGCTACCAGGCGTACACATAATTGCTTATCTTTTATTTAGGTGATTGGTTGAGCATGAAGTCTTTTATTTTGATAATATTTTGTTCTATCTATTGGCTGATAAGGAATGTTCACTTTTTAAAATTGGATAACCAATTCCTAGTAAATTGGAAATTCTTATTTCCAGATGACATAAAACTGGAGGTATTTTACTAGACAATCATGCATAAATTAAAATATAGATTAAAAAAGAGGGCACCTGGGTGGCTCAGTTAAGCCTTTGACTTCGGCTTAGGTCATGATCTCATGGTTTATGGGTTAAAGCCCTGCATCAGGCTCTGTGCTGACAGCTCAGAGCCTGGAGCCTGCTTCAGATTCTGTGTCTCCCTCTCTCTCTGCCCCTCCTCCTCCACGGTCTGTCTCTCTCTCCTTCAAAAATAAATAAACATCAAAAAAATTTTTTTAATAAAATAAAATATAGGTTAAAATGAAACTGTAAAATGATGCACTGAATAGAGGAAACAACCCAAAGACACTTATCTGAAAAAAGTTCTATTATATTAATTTGTGAAACTCATTTCTGCACACACTGGAAATGCCTCAGGCACTTACAAGGAATGCACTGAGAACAGGGGAGCGGGCATGACTTAGGGCTCTTCCCGGCACTCCCTTGTGACTCTCTGGAAGCCACTCTGTTTCCACTGGCTAAGGCTGCCCGTGAGAACCCAGTGTTACAACATCAGGAATTTGGAGGTCTAGTTGATATTTAGTTGGTAGCTTGAAATCAGCCGTGATGGGAATATTTCTACCAAAGAAATTGGCAAACATAACAAATCAGGGCTTTTTTTTTCCCTCTGGTGAGCTGGATGTTGAACACAACTGCCTTGAATCCTCCACACCAAGCACATGACTAGCAAGCAGTGGGTGCTTTGCAAATGTTTGTTCATTTAGTGAATCCATAGATGGATGGAAGATGGGAAGATGGGGGGATGGATGGTGAAAATGGATTGATGGAGGGATAGAGGGGTGGATGGATGGATGAATGGATGGTGGATGATGGACGGATGGATGAATGGATGGTGGATGGATGAATGGATGGTGGATGGATGGATGGATGGATGAATTGATGGTAGATGGATGGATGGATGGAGGGATGGAGGGATGGATGGTGGACGGATGGATGGATGGATGGATGGGTGGATGGTGGATGGATGAATGGATGGCAGATGGATGGATGGTGGATGATGGATGGATGGATGGTGGATGGATGGATGGATGGATGGATGGATGGATGAGGGGGTGGATGAGGGGAGGGATGAGGAGAGGGTGGAAGGACAGGGGAGAAAAGGACACATTGTGGGGTTGTTTTAATGTTTATTTACTTTGAAAGAGAGAGAGAATGATCAGGGGAGGGACAGAGGTAGAAGGAAAGAGAGAGAATCCCAAACAGGCTCCACACTCTACACAGAGCCTGACCCAGGGCTCGATCTCACAAACTGAGATCATGACCTGAGCCTAAATCAACAGTTGGACACTCAACCAATGGACTGAGCCACCCACGTGCCCTGTGGGGTCATTCCATCAGGAATGCCCTGAAGTCACTTAGTAATTTAGATTAGCTTTTCCACTGTAGAAGGATCTTTTATTTTCTTTTATCACAAACTCCTAAATTACTTGTTGGCTGTTTAACTCACGTCATATACTCTGGATAAAATGAACTTGTCCCCAAGCTTTACCATCATGAGTGAAGGAATGACAATTCTGAAATGGAGAGTCAAATCTGGAACAGCCCTCAGAGACTACCTCCTCCAGCAAATCCTGCCAGGGGTGGCTGATGGCTCTGCGATGGGCCAGTGACATCTCACACTGATGCACACGAGCACCCAGAGTGTAAGGCTCAGCTCCCACACCCACACCCCCACACACACATAAATGTGCACACGAGAACATGCTTTTCAGTTAAAGGGGATTATGGAGACTCCAGAGAAACTGTGACTTGTCCTGGAGGCCTGGGGATAGTCCACATCCCCAGGAGGCCAAGAGTGGAAGAACTGTTGGTTTGTGTCTCCTAAGTGGCTCAGGATAAGATTTTTCTCCACCTTTCTATTCCTGAGAATGTAAGTTCTGCATTCTCTGATGGCGTTGCTAATGTGCTCTGTGACCACACCTCCGTTTCTGTCTTTAACACACCAGACAATGCAGTTTCAAGGAAAACTAAAATTCCTGTTTGGACAGAAGAGGAAGACTCCATCAGGGACAGTCCTGCCCCCTCGGCTGTCACTGTTCTGCATCGTGGTGCCCGTCCTCCTTCCTTCCGTGGCGGAGATGAAAATGAAGAGTGCGTTTCTGAGAGTGAAGCACAGGGTGGACGTCTCAGGCTCAGTGGACGCAAAGTGAGTGAAAGTCCCTTAAAACACAGCCACGCTCACTGCTGCTGGCGGTTAAAACAAGAGCCTTGGCACTTAGAATCTTCTATTCTTTCTTCATTTCCAGCGAGCAATAACTTAAGAAGTTTGGTGGTTTTAAAGCTAGTACGTTATGTAGGAAAGAATGTGCAGAGGAAGTGCTTTCACACTAATATTTGCGAGTGGTGGTACCACATAGCGCCTGCACCACTGTGTCCCTGATCCCCCAGTTACGGCCTCGAAGCAGGTGCCCTGAGCGCTGGTCATCATGGGGTGGGAGGTGGGGGGCCGCAGCCTTCTTTCCTCCGTGCGGTCCCTCCGTCCACGCACAGGGCTTAGTGCAGGGACCGATGCAGGAGGCACCGGTGCCCAGGCAGTGGGGACACGGCTGCCGCTTCTGCCCAGCCGAGTTTTCTCGGCTTTTCAGTGCTAGAAAACACTTCACATCGAGTTTTCTAGGCGATTCACACCTAAACTTTGTGGAACAGACTAGGCCTGTTTTTTGTGGGTCAGTGTCCTGAGAGTGATTCAAAATGTGCATCTGTGAATTGTGTTTTCCACACAGTATGAGTAAGACCAAGGGAGGGGGGTGGGGAGGCAGGGTGTCTGAGATCTGACTGTACCTGCTACAGATGCAATATGTCAGACCTCTGAGTCCCCAACCCACTTCTTTATCCCTCAGTGGCTGTCCCTAGAGTGGGGCTCAGCCAAGCCAGCAGCTCCCCACTGCAGGCAGGGCTGCATCGACTGAGACCCACCAGGGCTTAGACTCAATCGCTTGGAGGAGGGCTGGGCTCTCAGGTTGAGTTACATCAAAGTAGTATAGCTTTCCAGCTGCAAAGACCCCTCTGCCAGGGCCACAGGGCACTCACCCCAGGAGGGAGGCTTGCTCAGCACCCTCCTCGCCAGCATGCTGTCACTGTGTGTTTTGCATCCTGCCTGTGACGCTGTGCGTACTGGCCAGACCTCATCTCCTCCTCCAGGAAGCCCCTGTCCCCCCTCCTGTCTCCCACCAACAGGGAGAGCCTCAGCCTCAGATCCTGCCCCTTAACCCGTTGGGCCCTTTTAGGAGGTAGGTGCACAGCCTACGTCTTCTCCCCTCCCTCGCCCAAGAGTGTCTGGCTTCCTAGGTCCTGGTGCCTCCCCAGGGAAGGTATCAGTCCCTTAAACCACTGCCTGATGGGGATGGGCCTGAGTGCAGAAGGGGGCTGGTCCAAACCCCTCAGCTTTCAGGTCTGTGATGGCCGATGAGGTTTAGTTCTGTGACAGCAGCATCTGACACGTTTGCTTGCCTCCCTCCGTGGGTCACTTTGGGTGCGGTGTGTGTGCCTCTGTCCTGGAAGCCACATCACCGGTGGGAACACTGCCTCCACCAGGATCCCCTTCTTAGCCCTGAGTCCTGTGGTCCTACTTACACGTCTGCTGACGTCCGGATGAAGAGTCTTTGGCCAAGCATCTCCCCCACAACCGGGTCCCCTCCAGGAGAGTCCCAGGGCTCTGTGGCCCATCTAGGGGATTCCTGCTTGCCTGCCCACGCAGCACCAGGATGGCAGGTAGTGCCCAGGGGTCTTCTCTTTGTGACTCTCCCTCTTGTGGGTGTGAGGGTCCGTCCCTCTTCAATGTCCACAAATAACCTTTGACTAATTCCAGTTGACCTTTAGATGGTGAGAAAATCTGACAGCAGCTGCAGTGGAAGGAGGGCCCCCATTCCGGGGAGGGGGGCTCAGAAGGCTCTCCCTTCTGCCTGTGTGGCATGGTCTGCCTTGGCCTGCAGGTCACAAGCCCCCACCTCCCTGCTGCTGGTCTCAGGTGCAGGGCCAGGGGTGGCTTCCAGGAACAGAGCCACCCTGAGCAGTGGCCATGCCAGCATGCTGAGACGGAAATTACTGGAACGTTTAAAAATAAACATATATGCCCTCTGAAAGATGCACCGTGTCCTAAACATGCCCTACCCGAGGGAGAAGACTAAAAGCAGGCGAGGGAGGAAGCAAGCTGACTCTCCAAGGTGCCAAACCCCAGAGGGTGCCGCCTGAGACGACCCGGGCCCGCAAGCAGAGGCCACCGGTCTCCACACCTGCTTTCTCCCTGTCCCTCCCCTCCCCTGCCAGCCCCTCACTCTGAAATACTCCCACCTTCATTTACCGTCCCAGAGCTTTCTGTTTTTAACCTTTTTTTGGTTTTTCTGTGGGTTTTTTTGGCTTGTCATAATTGAAACCCACACTGAGCTTCCTCTTTCCCATTTTTCCAGCCCTGAAACCAAGTAGACGGAAATCTTACCCTCCCTTGGCTTTTCGCTCCTGGGGGCATGCAAGGAGGACTCTTACTGCCCCCTGGCGCCTGCGCCGGAAAGTGCAGAAGTGCAGGCTGATTACGCCAGAGCCCCTGCGGCGGGGAACTGGGGGGGGGGGGGGGGGGGGGGGGGGGGGGGGGGGGGGTCTGTGGCTCACAAGTCACCCAGCGCTCCCGCAGCTGGCATCAACTCACGAACTCACTAAAGTATTTGTCCTCCAAAGTCCTATTCAAGGGATTTAGCACTCATTTGTGAACATGCAGTGTGCCAAAGAATTTGTCACCAGATGCT